ATGTCGACATACACCCGTGTAGTCACTAATAGACTATCTCACTCCTGATCTGCTGCGGCCATGAGCTCTTCTTGTTCCCACTTTTCCTTTTCTCTTTCATACAACTGAACCCTCAACGGTATCTTATACCGTGCTGGCTCTTCCTCTTGATCTTCTTCTGTGGGAGCCAAACACACTCCCTGAGAACAAATGTTACGACGGTGAAACATATGTCCAATATCATCGAAGACCCATTCCAGTGCCGAAACATGTCTACACGGCTTTCAATTAATTATCCATCGTCGGGCGACAAGTCTTACCCCCGCTCGACTCCTCCAAGACCCTGCTCGTGTATCCCACATCGGCCCATCCGTCCTGATAGACGCTAGATGAGGTTGTCTGCTCCAGCTCCGATTCTCACCTCTCTCGTATCGGTGACGGTGATCGTTGACGATACCAGTCATGATCCCATCGCCGTCCATGCGTACGCCTTCGCTTATGCCTACCAGTATGCCATCGACCTCTCGCTACTGATCGCTCCTCTTACCGGTGCTGGAGTTCCTCATACTTTCCAACGTCGTAGGCCTCATTCAGAGGGTTGAAAGGATCCGCAGGTCGCGACTCGTCATCATCCTCCGGATCACATTGGAGTAGCCCAGAGGTGCTCACAGATTCGTCTCCATCCTGCTCACGGTGGTGGTGATGATGGTGGTGCTTTTTTCCCTTCTTTTTCTTCTTCTTATGCTTCTTCTCCTTGCTCTTCTCATCATCTTCCTTGCTGCTGTCCAAATCTATCACTTCTCCATCTGGCGTCTTGGCTTTCTTCTCTTTCTTGGACTTCTTCTTCTTCTTTTTCTTCTCTTTCTTCTCGGTACTGTCTCCTCGAACATCGGCATTCGTCAATCGGTTCTGATACATCCTGAAGCAGTGAATACGCAATGATATGACTATGTTGTCGGCATCTGGTGAGAGATCACAAGAAACTCAATCTCCAAAATTTCGATGATTGCGTCAGGGTTCCGATTTTCTTGACCCGATCTCGTCCATCAGGCAACACCGAGGCATGCGTTGGGCAGCGAGTTGAGCGACTCGGCACATAATGCCATCGTTCGGAGAACTCAAAACTGTGATGATAAGGCAATTGTCGAATGATGTCCGATCAGCTGAATTGGCATTCGAATCGTGGTTGACGTAACCCACGTCACGTGAGATAGTTTCAGGGCAAGTCAGTGGTGGGGCTCAACTGGATCAATCTCTTCTAGCTACTCGTTTCAGTAGCTGCCAGCTACTAGCTAGTTATAGCGACATACATTCATCTACACATAAGTTAACCCTCTGACTGAGTGACACCTCAAGCTGACACTCGAAAATAATCGATCGTCCAAATCTGCTAAGCCCAGAGGAGTAAAATGCGCATCCGGAACCAGAAGCCGAAATTGTTGGTAAGCACAAGGTGTACCAAACCATTGACTCCGGGATCTCAGCACACAAGTCGCGGCGAAGCATTTTCTATAGCTCTCGCTGACTCGCGGGCTGCCAACTGAGCCCAAACTCAGCGAAGTTAGCACGATAAATGGGCCTTACAGTAAACGTTGTAGCTTAGTCGAAAGCCAAGTGTATTTATCGACCCGATCAAAGCACCTCGAATATTCTGTGCGGAGTGCGAGCCGCTCACCAGTTCGAAAGCGACGGCTTTGGACTGCATGGTCCCAG